TCGCTGAATTTGTAGAGTGGAAATCTAGTACAGCAGTCTTTTGCAGCAGCCTCTGGCACTTGCTGTATGGGAAGTAATGGTTCACGTAGTAGGTAGCTGTTAAATGCAATTGTATCTACTGATTGGACCCACTAGTAGATCTTTTGTGAACGTCTACCTGTGCTGTTGTAATAAGCCTTTTTCCCCCACGGAGGCCTTCTCTGATTCATCCAAGTACAAGCTTAGATCAGCGTGTTCACTGATAAACAAGTTTTCCTCAGGCTACTACACTCAAGATAGACAGCATCCTTTACTTTTTAGTAAAGAAAGTTAAACTGAGGAGATAACTGGACTGTAGCATTGATACTCCGGGTCTGTGTAGATAAGGAAGAAGTTTAGTGTTGCTGGCAAGTACTGATTAATGAAAACTGGTTCATGTTCTCCAGCTGACTTAGAAAAGAAAGCAGAGTTTATGTTTAAAATTACAGTATGATTGCTTTCATTTAAAAAATAATAATGTTGAAATGTTTACACTGCAACGTGAATGTTTCTAATGCCCATCATCAAAAAAAGGTAAATGTAACTGCCTTTTTAATGACTTCTTTGTTAGGTCTTAGGATTCTGATTATGGTAAATATTTTACCAAGAACAACATCAGCTTTGCTATTTCATAGCAAGATTCTTACAGCTTCTCTGAGGTGGAATAAAGTGTTTAATTATAGTTTGCCACAGTGTATTCAAGGTTTTTTTTTAAAGTATGTATCATTATAGACTAGTGAAAGATTGTGTAAAAATTCTGATTGGTCTTGGATGTGGGTAACCTGTAACTTAATGGGGACAGACCTGAACTGAAAATAACAAATAATAATTCTGAGCTGTGAGCCACGTTATAATTTACTTGTTTTCCACAAAATACCCTTCTATGCTGTAACAGAAACACTGTATTTTTTCAATACTGTTCATCCTAGTGTAATATTTAAGGTGGAATTCAGTTGTGGAATACATTTGGTACAGATACTTTATTTTTGTAGGATACTCTGTGATTTCCTCATTTGTAAATGGATCTTCAGTTATGCATTGGAGTTAATTAAAAACTTGCTTTACAATCAGCATTAGACAGTGGTTTAACCATGCCCCTTGATTCAATACTTGCTTTGGTATTTCTTTTACACTTTTAACTTGGTTTTGTCTATTCCCTTTCCTGTGGCTGTTCAGCTGTTGGCATAAGAAGAAGGTGTTCTTCAAGCAAATGTTTTGAAGTGGTAATTATAGAGAATTTATGGGGATTTGCCATACAGGTTTATGGGAATCTTATGTGGATAATTTCTCATGTTTCATTTCTATGAATGTGCTGTGCCAAATTTCAAATGTTTTTGACTGCTATGTAGAATTACTAGATTTGGTAAAGAACAATTTACATTGTTCTGTAGGAGTGTTCCAGCAGGTATTCAGGCTTTCAGTCTTGAATTTTCTCTGAGATGTCTCTAGGGGGAGTCTATTTGCTCACTTTTCCGTGTTTTCTGGGATGTTCTCACTTCAGTGCATCCGTTTCTCTAGCATTCTGTAAGTTTGTATTCCCAGTCTTCTCCAGCCAGTCTTCTCTGCCAGGTTCTATGAAAACTTTATGTAGCTGCACTTTTTGCTTTTTACTGACTCACAGGCAAATGTTGCTTATGTTGTGATATCACGGTATCAATGACCTGTTTTGTTACAGCAGAGTGGTATCTTGCCTTCCAGGAGTAGCATATATGAGGTAAAGGTGAGAGGATTGAGCAAATGTTCTGTTCTGGAGAAGTCATGACGGATTTTCAAAAGGGATGTAGCTTTTCATACATCTTCAGCATTTGTCCTTTGAAGTATTTTAAACTAGAATAGATCTTGTGCTGCCTTTCTTTGTATTAATTGCGGCCAGGTTCTTGCAGTTTGATGCTGAGGTAGCAGGTTCAGTGTTGTAAGGCAAGAAAGAGGTTTAACTCCACTTCCTGTGCAGTTCAGTGAGAGGGAACTTCAGTTTAAAAAACAAAAAACAAACAAACAAACAATGTTTCTGTAGTTATCCAGCATATTCAACCAAACTGTCTTTTAAGCGACCTATTTTTACCCAAGAAGGAAAGAAAACAGTGCTCATAAGTTAGATATATGTACTAAACTTAAAGAGTATCTTATTTCTGTGTTGGAAAATGGGATCAAACCTCAAGTAGTCGTAATACAGGATTGAAACCTCTGAAGTTTAAAAGGGTCTCTTTGTTTCAAAGGGCCTTTTTCATATAAGACTTTACTTTCTTGTTTGAAATTCCAGGAAGCTTCAGGTTTCATAGTTCTGTGCTGGAATGCTTTTAGAACAGGAGTTTTCTGGTTGTCATGTGACAATGGTGTTGAATTCACAGCAAGAGCTGTAGGGATCTGCTCAGTGCAGGCAGGCTTCAGTGCAAATGGCTTTTGGTACTTGAGACTGGAAGGGCAAGGAAGGTCTGTGCTGACTGACATGCTATTAATGATCAAACCACTGCATTGGTGCCTGTCCTTACTGAATACATCTCAGTAATCTGTGAACCTAGTTAATTTTGTAACCTTCCATGATTTAGGTAGGTACTGCCACATTATTACTGGTGTTAAGTGTTTTCTGTTGAGGGCTTCCAGAGAAAGCTTCAGCAATAGAGAGAACAGCCCCCTAGAAGGTGATGACAAGCTATTTAGCCCGCATCAGGATTGGGTGTTGTAAGAGGGTGCAGTAGGACCATCCATGGTTTTTGGCCTCCTGACAAAGTGTGGCACTGCTGCATTAAAAGAGAAGAAATTGGAAGGGAGCTGTAGCAGAGTAGTCAGCTCCTATGGGGATGTAAGGCTTTTGTAGGACTGAGCCCCTGTGGCTAGGTGCTCTGGTGTACAGGAGCAGTCATACCTGTGAGTGGGGTTGCCCTATAGAACGGAGTCCATTGATGCTGCTGGTGCCAGCCAGGCTTATTCCTGCCACAGGCTTTTGTAAGTAAAAGCATGGATGTAAAGTAACTGGTAGGTCTGCTTATGCGAGAGATGTTTGGAGAAAGAAAAGCAGCTCTGGCAACCTGCATGTGGCTGGGAATGCTGAGCTGGTGCTAACTGCCTGTCTTGGCAGAGAGGATTGAAAAAAAAAAAAAAAAAAAAAAAGATGAAGGCATAGTCTCCAGAGTGTTTTTTCTGAACTAAAGGATGCCCTGTTCTTAATTGCACAGAGCTTTGTTCCCAGGGGGAAAAAAAAACAAAACAAAACAAAAAAACAAACAGGAAAACATGCTGCAGGTTGTGATTCAAGCAGTTCTGACTCACCCCAGACCAGGTGCTGCCTGGGCCACAGTTGTGCTGCAGGGTTGAGGTGCTGGGCAGGAGGCTATGTGCTGTCACTCTCAGTTGCCTTCAGTCCTGGTCCTTGTGCTGGTAGCTCAGCATTGTACCCTAAAGCATGCTGTGGGCCAGGCTGTAAGCTCCCTCCTGTTGAAGAGGAGAAGTGGGTTCGAGCTTATGTATTTAGAACTGAGAAGCAGTCTTTTACCCTCGTCTGCATCAGTTGCTATCTTTTGGTTGGATCAAACACATTCGTGTTACTTCTATTACCAGCCACGTCCACAGGGGGGAAAAGTTACTAAAATTGGGCATAGTACCAAAATGTGACTGAATTTTTTGAGTATACTATCTGCCAGTTCTTGATTTGGGACAGGAAAAGTTTATTGTAAAACCTATTTTTATAGTCTAGTAAAATATTTTTATGTTTGATATGAGATGTCGTTTATTGCTAAGAACAGTTCAAACTGAATGCAAAATATTTGGTTCAAAGATATCCCTCACCTTGCCATCTAATGGGAAATACTTTGTTATTGTTCTAGTCAATCTCAGAAACAAATGCTAAGACTTCTGATAAGCAGAAGTTCATCCCAACCTGGTTGCTACCATTCACTCCCTTGCCATGATCCTGCCCTCCCACTCTCCCTACTAATTTGCTGCTGGGTGCCATCTGGCAAGTCTCTAGCCCTGTGTCACAGATCTGCAATTAACTGTGTACAATGAGTGAGGCTGATTTACTGTGTACCTAAAGCTACAGTGAAACTGGAATAAATAGAAAGCAAGTGCATCGAGTAGCAGTGAATTAAAGCAAAGCAGGCTACTGAAGATGTCTTCAGGAAGAAATAATGCCACTTGTCTGGTTTTGTTCCTCCACAGGGGAGGAGATTGGGAATAAAATTCATATTGTATTCCTCCTTTCTCAACTAGCTGTCACCTGTTAAAGATTTCATGTGTGGGAACAAATTCATAGTTGTTGTCACTTAAAGATAAATTCTATCAGCTCACTTCTGCACATGCAGTACTTTAATATTAAACTGGAACTATTTTTCCTGTGACTGGCATTTAATCACAGTTTCTTAACCTTTTTGGAAACAATACACTATGTTGTGTATTTTTAATAAAGGTTATTTGAATTTTACCATGGCCACAGGTCGTGACTAAAAGCTGACAAGATGCAACTAAAAGCAAGTCTTGTTTCCACCAGTAACAAATATCCATTTGTAATGCATTGGTTCAATAACATAAATAGTTCTCTAGCCTTAAAAAGTAGTGGAAGAACAGTGTTTCTGAGAGATCCTAAGGAAAAAACATAGTTTTTATGACAGAGCATTATAGGAAAACCTCGTTGGGCTTTTATACTCAAAATGTTGCATTTTCTGCAATTCTGCTGCTTTGGAACTTGTTACAGAATTCAACCCTCGCTTCAGCATTGTGCTTTACAATACAACATTCACTTCTTCCAAGATATGCAATTAATTCTCAGTCAGGACAAAGGCCTGAGCTGAGTGTAAGCCATACTACTCAAATCCCACTAAGATTGCTGCAACCTGCAATAATACTTTTCAGAAATATGAACCAATCCCATTGTGTTAGCTGCTAGCTACTTCTGAAAATGAAAAAGGAAAATCTAAATCTAGTTAAAATAGAAATGCAGAATATGATATTAATGTAAACAAATTACATAAAGCTTTTGACATGCTGTTGTTCCGTTGTGTCTTGAATTTAACCTCTCTGTGGTAATTTCCCTTTTTTAAAAAAGTCATTTTTAACAGAGTATGAAAGGCCTTTCTTAAAATAATACTTTATCCTTGTTGAAGCAATAGCATCTTTGCTATCTCCTGCACGTATCATCAGGACTTCTCAGAATGAGGAGGAAAATCAGCAGACAAATAGTGCCAGGCTAAAGAATGCCATGAAGGATTTTGACATGCTTTGTCCTGTCTGTGCAGGGCACACTTACATTGCACTTGTGCAGTCTTGATCAAAGCTTTGTTTCAAGTTGAAGGCAACTTGAGTCTGAACTAACTTCACACACTGCTAGCTTCAAGTTATTTTTGTGATAGGAAAAGTGATTACTTAAGAGATAAAAATGCAGGGTTTGTTTCAATTGGTCAAACCGTTTCTATGGTTGCAGAGTGGTATCTGAAGATTCAGCTGAAAAAATGTGTCTTAAAGATGAGAAAACAGCTTATCTGTTGCATCCCTGCACTACATTTGCTAGGCAGGAATGGAGTTCCAGGCTTGAGAGGAGATACAGCTTGATGGTTTTGTTACTGGATCCTTATAAGTAACCCCTTTTCCCCAAATAAAACTTTCTAAAAGCCAAGTCCATCTTAACTGCTGGTGGCTTCCTTTCTTTGTTTTATGCTGTTAACTAGGAAAGCTTTGAAGTGCCCCCAGATATTTATCAGAATATCATGTGACCTTTTTTTTGAAGGGGGATCCAAGGGACCTGAATGCATCCTTTGGGAAGATGACCTTCCAGGATGCACCTAGATCGGAAATATGAAAGCAGATGCAGTGTTTGTTTTGGCTGTGTTCTGCAAGGTCACTTCACCCCATGGCTTTTAGGTAAGTCATCGCACAAAGAATTACTTAATTTGCTGCTACGTTTTTACTCTGACTTATCATTAGGAATAATATTGTCTGACATCACCTAGCAGCGGAAAAGAAATAAAAAGAAATATAAGAAATTAATGTTGAATTGTCATAGGCATGATTTTTTTTTAACATATGCATATTTTGCCTTTTCTACATTTAAATTTTAGAGAGGTTATATTTATTTGACCTATAAAATTGCAGGTCATTAGAAGCATCTGTAATTGCTGCGGCTCTCTCAGTGCTTGTCCTTAGTCTGTTAAGGTTATACAGTGCCAGTTGTACTGGATTAATAAGTGCTGGATTCTTACTGACATGCAGGAGCAGGATGACATAGCTTTAATAGGGGCTGAGCAACCTCTGTGGAAGTCAAGTGTAAGTAGCTACCTAGGTATCTGGGACCTAATCATTATGGTGTTGAGGAATTATCTTAGTGAAGGGAGAACTCAGCATCTCGTATGGAAAAGAGGCAGATCATTTGCTACATCGAAAAGTTGGGTGGCATTTTGTAAGCAGTTGTGAATCCATAGAGTTGCAGCGTAATTTAGATTGTAAGGAAATAAACTATTGTGTGCAGTCAAGCTCTGGATGCTCCCATAGCTGAATACTGCACAACTTGGGCAACCACTTCCAGTCCCTAAGGATGGGGAAAATTGTTTCCTTATGTTGAAGCAAAATTCTCCCTGTTGCGACTTACCTGTTGCTGTTCTGCTGTGCGCTGCTGGGAAGGGTGATTTCACATTTCCTATGCTCTGCCAACATTAAGAGTTCTGAGGAAAGAAACTTGATTCTGTTCACCTCTGCCTTACTCCTCCACTTGGAATATCATTCTTCTTATTCCTGCTTCTTCCGGAGCTCACTTTTTTACCTCATCTGTGAGAGGAGAGGAAGGTGAAATACAACTTAGAAAACAAAAGGATCATTCAACAGAATGCAAATATGTAATGTAAGGATTAGTCCCACAGTTGTAATAATGTTATTCTTTTTCCTGTTTTCTTGTGCATTTCTCTGTATGTATTTCACATCAGGAAATGCAGTGATGTCTGAGAAGCACAAGCCAGGCTTCTGAGCAGAACAGGGATACATGAGTGAAAATCTGAACAAAATAGCATTGCCTTAATTTGTTTAATGAACAGTAGCGTAGAAAAATTGCATGTAAACTCACAACCTCTCTTCCTCTGGCAATTTCTCTCTAGTAATGTTTTCTGATAATAAGGTTACAGAACCCACAGTACAGTCAGAGAGAGCATTTTATGAAAGGAATTGCTTCCACTTACTGCACACATTAAAGATTTTTAGTCATTACTCATTTTCAAAAGCCCCAAACTATACGAAATTGCTGGGAGCAAGCATGTTACAGATCAGCTTTAGAATTCACGTTGCTTTGATTCTGCATTTTGATGATATTTTATTGATCCATTGAGTAATTTGATATTTTGCTTGCATGTCTCCCATGTTTTTACAGAGATGCTTCACAAAAACTTGCATGCAATTTCTTTATGCTTCAAGTCTGCATCAGATACATGAAGAAATCTGGGGGTGAAGCCTGATGTTTCCATTCTTGAAAAGCAATTCCATAGCAACACACATCACATTTTTATTAATTATATCTCTTGAATTACTCCAGGAATCCCAGAATGGCTGGAGTGAGAAGGGACCTCCAAGTCTATCTGGCCCAACCCCTGCCCAAATTGGGACATCCAGAACAGGGCACCCAGGCTCATGGCCAGGCAGCTTCTGAAGATCACCAAGGAGAGGACCCCACAGCTTCTCTGGGCAGTCTGTACCAGTGCTCTGTCACATGCAGGGTGAAGTGCTGGCTGGTGTTCAGAGGGAACCTCCTGTCCTCCAATTTAATGCTATCTCTGTTTTAAGAAAACTAGTAGCTTAGCACCATGTGCACATTTGTCTCCATGGCGGGTGCTCATCTTAAGTTCAGGTTGGTAGTAAAGAAAACTCAAAAACCTCACTGCAAGAGGATGGTTATGGGAAACCTCATGCTCCGGTTGCAGGGGTATGACTGCTCTTGCTGAGTGAATGGAACAGGGTAGACTCTCAGGTCCCATGGATTATATGTGTGAATATTTATATACAAAAATGATCAGGTTCCCACTGACTGAAATGACTCATGAGATTGAAAATATGAGCAGTCAGGCCTTAAGATTAGCTCTGAGACTCCAGTAAATTTCTCAGAAATAAGGCTATTTCAGTTCACTTTTTTTTCCTCTGAGGAATGAAAAACATTGAAATACTCTTCTATGGAAGTGTGAAATGGCACTCTTGTGAGTACCTAAAGCTATGATAATGCTCTAGTCATGTGCTATTGATCTGACCATGTGAGAACACTTTTAAAGTAAAGATGATTGTAATAAATTCAATTAGTCTAACATTTTAGAGTTTTCCTTTTTACACACAGTGATAGAACATTATATTCATAGAATCATAGAATAATTCTAATATTTTGTTATATTACAAAATCTCTGACACTAAATCCTGAGCCAGTAAATGAGTGAACCTTGAACAGAGAAAAAGGCTTTTTTGCTTATAGACAAATATGTATGTCTGTGTGTATACAAATACACAGACAAATAATGCCAATCATTCTACAGTTAGTGCGATAGCTTAGCTCTTGGGAGCAGTCTAAGCTTGCAAAGTGTGCAAAGTGCACATGTGTGCAAATTGGAAAGAGGTGATTTTTTTTATCAACTTTCTCATTGCAGTGTTCAAGAGTGTGCTGTTCTCTGGACCACTCACTGCTGTTAATTCTTCCACATGGGTCAGCTGGATCCCAGGTCAGCATGAAGTCATTTCTCCTGCACACAAAATGAAAGTCAGTCTATTTATGTGTACCATCAGCAGCTGGAAAGCACCAATGTTTTATCTCTTGTCACTCGTTACAAATAAATCATATCCTTCTTCAAAATTGCCATGCAGAATAGATATCAAGGATTTGTATGATATTGTTCAGTGTTTAGAAAATATTTAATCATCACTGTAGGGTACAATTTGCATTATTCCCATTTTTCATGCCAACATGATTTGTATGGCAGCCAATGTATGCTGATTAGTCAAATTTCCCTAATTAATTTTTGTCAATGTGTTGTCCTAACATGACTTGAAATGTACAGCTTATTTTATTAAATGTATTAAAACTGCTTCTGCTTTCCACTGTATACCAGGGAATAATTTGCTACCAACAGCATTTACAACAATTTTTAAACGCACGTATTCTAATTAAAGTGAACATCCAACACGTTGGCCAAGGGTGAGTCATACTTTGTAATAGCTCTATGGGGAAGAAGGTTGGAGTTATGTGTTCTTTCAAAGCAATGGCTGTGAGAATAAATTGTTTTCTTTTTATGAAGTACTTTTTGTGCTGTTTGTTGCACGCCTAAAAGATGGATCAGTGAATATGGAAGTGTGAAGACTGGGCATGTGTCCTGCCTGGGACAAGAAAGGCAGCTGTGCTGCAAGACTACTTGAAAACTTTCTTGGTTTGCTTTTATTGCTAAGCTCAAAGCCCAATCTGTGCATTTTCATCACTGAGGAACAAGCAGATGCCACCCTTGTTACCATGGTTTCTGTCCAGTCACAGTGCCCTCTCAGAAAAACAAGAAGTTTAGTTTTATATTTGTTACATATATTCCTTGGGTATCTTAAAACAGAACTGCAACTTGTATATCCATGGACACGTAGTCAGGGTTTGACTCTTGAATGGGGCACGTGCTTCCCTTGGCCTAAAATATTATTCTTGTGCCCCAGAGAGGGCTGAAAATAAATGCCACTACAGCAATGCCTTCTGCAAGAGCATTGGATGGTGTGTGAAGACCCTTTTGAAAACCACAAGTTATGGTGGAGTATGTGCAAAGAAGAAAGACATGAAAGGAATCAGTGCTGTCGGAACAGTTGCCAATATTACCCATTTTTTAATGAATTTTTAGCTTTTTCTTGTAGTTATGGTTCTCAGAATATGATGAAGAAAGGGAGAAGAAGCTCTTCTTTAGGTAGCAAATTATGTGTGAAATGATACGACACGTGCCAAGACAGATGAGATAATCTTATTTTAAATGTGCCAGCTGAAACAAGTCAGAATGAAATCTCAGTACAGAGCTGATTCCAGGGGGCTTCAGAGATGTATCACAATCACTACCCAAACCTGTTTGTGATTTTCTGACCCACTACCACTTCCAACTTTCAACGCATTCTAAAATACTTGTGAAGTGAGGCACAAATAGCACCTGTCACTAAAAAACTGTAAGGAAGATACCCTCTGCCCTAGCCTTCCCCTTCTCCCCCCTCCACAGTAGATGAGAGCCATGGTAAATCTGTAAACCAGTGAAAATGCTGACTGATTGATTGGGCTTATAATTGCAAAGGCAAGGAGACATTTCTGCAAGTGTTTAGATCAGCTTTGTCAGAAGTGAGTGTGTTGCAACAACTACACATTTAGTTCTACAAAGAACACATGGGGAATAAACCAACTGTTAGGCTTGAATTACAGTGCAGGAGGGATAATTGCCATCACGGAAAATTTGCTTAGAAACAAAAACCTGTAGTGCACAAACACCTGGAATAGAATTATGCTGAAAATTAATGCTAAGCATCCAATCAATATCCAATGGGAATATTGACTAGTTACACCAGTCAGAGCTATGAGAATTTATATTCTCAGTGGGAATGAAGAAGGGCAGCATTTGAACAGACTTCCAAAAGATATTGAGTGATGCTGATGGCTCACGAGGATCCTTTTGTTCCCCAAAGCCCCAAGTACTGTGGAGCTATTTGTTCTGCAGACCCCGTGTGTTTGCCAGGGAAATTACCTAGATGTTCACTCTGGAAGGCCTGCTTCAGCCCTATTAATTAGATGCTTGATTAAAAGTTGTATCAGAAACCTAAGATGAGCTTTAGGATCTGGAATACAGTAACTAAGATGCTTTACACAACAGCCCTGAACCAAACTAAGCCGATTTTGCATTCAACTAAGTACAAATTGGCAATTTGTTCTTCCCTGCAATGTGCCTTCCCATCCCTGCTTTAAAACATAGTAATGATATATTATATGCTCATTAAATTGTGTAAAGCATTCCAAGTCTACCTAGGTAAAATCGTGCAGGTTACTGAGTTTTGCAAAATTTTGCCTGTTGTAAAACCTTGGTTTCCTTGTTATTGATGCCACTAACTGCTCCCAGTCATCTGAAGTCCTCCAATCTGAACAAGATTTGTTGCAGTTATTTTGGAATGTGGAGTCAAGGCTATAGCACAATCTAAGATCTTACGTTAAATAACTATAAAGAGGTAGCAATTACAATATTATCAGTCCTAAGCATATGAAGGTCTTCTGCCTCAGTTGCCAAGAGTCATATCCCTCTGCCATTCATAGGGACCCAGACAGGTTTGAGAGTCGGGTTCATGCCAACCTCATAAAGTTCAAGTGCAAGGTCCTGAATCTGGGTTGGGGCAATTCCAAGTACAAACACAGGCTGGTCAGAGAATGGCTTGAGAGCAGCCCTGAGAAAAAAGATTTGGGGGTGTTGGTTGATTAAAATCTCAACATGAGCTGATAATGTATGCTTGCAGTCCAGAAAACCACCTGTATTGTGGGTTACATCAAGAGAAGCGTGACCAGCAGGTTGAGAGAGGTGATTCTACTCTATGCTGCTCTCATGAGATTCCTCCTGGAGTACTGCATCCAGTTCTAGAGCCCCCAGCACAAGAAAGACATGGAGTTATTGGAATAGGTTCGGACAAGGGCCATAAAGATGATCAGAGGGCTGGAACATGTGCCCTACTGGGACAAGTTGATAGAGCTGGGGCTCTTCAGCCTGGAGACGGAAAGGCTCCAGCAGGACCTTATAGCAGCATTCCATTACACAAAGGGGGCCTACAGGAAAGCTGGGGAAGGACTTTTTATAAGAGGACAAGGGGAAATAGCTGTAAATTGGAAGAAGGTAGATTTAGACGAGATGTTAGGAAGAAATTCTTTTCTGTGAGTGTGGTGAAACACTGGAACAGGTTGCCCAGAGAGGTTGTGGATGCCCCCTCCCTGGAGGTGTTCAAGACCAGGCTGGATGGGGCTTTGAGCAACCTGGTCTGAAGGGACGTGTCCCTGCCTATAGCAGGGGTTGGAACTACATGATCTTAAAGGTCCCTTCTAACCTAAACAATTCTGTGATTCTATGATATTACTGCCCAGGCATCAGATAATTTGAAAAGAAATATGAGATTCACAGGGGTGATTTGATTTACAATTATTGAACCTTTGGTGCTGACTTTTAATCTTTTCTTCACAATCATAAGGCTTAAAACTTTCATTAAAAAAGAGAGAAATAAAGCTTTTCACCTGCTAACAGGACTGAAGGAATTAAAACTTCATTTTGAGAGGGAAAAAAGTAATATATTTATCTCTGAGAAAAAGGATGGAAAAAGTAATGTAGAATAAATGATCTCTTAATCGGATAATATGGTTTTGGTTTGGAGGAAGGTTTTCCAGCATATAATTAGGCATTTGCTTCAGCATTTATGTCTTCTCATTTTTCTTAAAAAAAGAAAACAGACAGCTCATGCATTCTGCCTATAAATGGAATTATACCTCAGATACCCAGAACCTACACTGCTGATTTAGCATATGGTGTATTATGGTTGACAGAGAACAATCCCATTTTTTTTACTCAAGAAGAGATTGCATTTTAGAGATGCATGAAATAATCCTGTATGCCATCCCCATATCACTTTGGATTACCACAAAGAAAAGTAAGACGTAAATCAGCAATGGTGTTATTTGCTATCAAAAGCCCTCAGTGGGCTACCAAAGGAGGGTTTCTGTATAAACAAACTGATCTTTATTTCTGATGGTTTATTCCAGAGCAAATTGTCTTTCAGTGGTTTATGGGTATTCTGGGTTTTTCCTCTATCCGTGTTCTCATATTTCGTACAATCTTAGATGTGACTGCTGCGATGATTGAGTATGATCTAAAGCACAGTGACACAGTGTTTCTCTATTCTTTGAAACAGGAAACAAACTCTAGGGGGGAAAAAAACAAAGTCTTCTATCGATAAATAATTACCCAGGAGAAAAAAATCCTGCGTGATCCTTAGAAAATCACCATTCTGGTTTATTATCTTTATGACTCACAACAGAGCTCTACTTCTAGACTGACCATTTGTGTTAAACTTTCAGCTGTTTTGCGATTTTTTGTACTGGCGCTTATTGTACTGAAAACAGATTGCAAACACAAACTGTGATTGAGGAGTATTGTGAAACATCATCTCTGTAACGTGTATGCAAGCAAACACAGTTGGTATTCATCTAACGTGTAGATGATAGGAAATACCTCTAGAAGAACAATTGTCAGGAAAATGACAGGCCTGGACAAAATACCAGCGACGCCCAAGGAGATGTGCAGGCAGCTCTAGCGTGATTCCTGCCCTATTCTTTGCGGAGGAGAGACACCCTGGAGGCAGCAGAAGTCATTTTTATTTTGTTCCCTGCAGACTCATCAGAGGCAGGCTGCATCTCCTACGCATGCTGATGTCGTGCTGTGACCAAAACACATTTCTAATAAGGCTGGAGCTAGCACTAGCACAGGAGATCTTTTCCACTTCTGGCTTCTGTATATGTCCCTGTTGGCTGCAACTCTGCAGAGAGCGTACAGAAATGGCAAGTGGCCTTCGAGGGACACAGAGCTACAGCATGCAGACAGACCTGCAAGCCAGTCCTTTTTTTTAGTGTGTAATTAAATTGCGGGACTCACTGTCATGAGATGTTGTAGAGGTCAAAACTATAAGTGGATTTAAAAGAAAAAGTCAAACAACATACAGGCAATGAAGTGGAAGTCCATCTGTAGCTGTTAAACACAGCTGTTGGGATGTAACATCCGATTTAGGAAGAATAACTGCTAAAGGAGGTCCATAAGTCACTGACTGCTGGAAACCAGACGTAATCACTCAGTACATGGCTGTGCCTGCAAGTATCTATTGATCACTCTTGAAATGAATAGAATGGGTCAAATGGATCTTGGCTTTGATCAGTTTTGTGTCCCAAAGGAAGCTTAAAATGGTGACAGCCTCGTGATTGAATCCACATGGCAGTGTGCCAGCATGAGTGCTATCTTCGTCCTCTTACTTCTCCTCCTCCTCCTCCTGAATCCCGTCCCAGATGCTGTGTGTTGGACATTTTTCCTTCTGTGCTTCAGGACTTTCCCAGTGTGCCACAGGAATACAGCTGAGAATGCTTAAATCTGATGCCGAAGTATTTTCCTTCTGTCTGCAAACAATGCAAGTTTAATAATGCAGAGGTCTTTGCCACGCGGATCCTATCACTCAGATGGC